CTGTTTTGAGATGACGTTGTCACCTCATGCTTAATAAAATGATTTAACGAAGGACTGTTTGATCGCTTCTAACGCAAATGTTCTGAAGAACATTTGCATTAGAAGCGATCAAACAGTTTCATTGATACGGCGGTAACTACGACTCTGCTGTACATGTACATTTAATGTTCCCTTGAACTTTTATTAATATGAATTTACCTATGATTCATGTTCTAATTAACAATACTAAGCAAAATTTTATTTTGTTGTTTATAAGAAACATTGATCATATAAACATAACAAAAGCAAACTTTAGGTTATAAGAAACCTTATCCAGTGGGTTATAAGAAAGGTTATACGAAACATTTTACTTCCAAATAAGATATTGAATGGACTAAATTCATGTGACGTCACGATCACGTGATTCCGTCACAAGGGGAATATGGCGTCATTTGTTTACTACTGTGGCGTACGATTATTTTGTTCTTAAAAATTTACATTTTACTTTCTAAAATGCCTTATTTTGCTGAAAAGGTTCCTCGATCAGTTAAAAAAAGGTGAAATTGTCGAATCGGCCGCTTTTCCGCCAAATTTTGAAAAATTGTCAATTTGGCGCGTTTTTGCGTGTTGTGTTTCGGAGTTGCAACCCTACCACAACACGCAACGCCGGAGCGCGAAATTCAAGATGGCGAAAGGGAAATCATCAAAAACGTATTATTTTAAAGTTTTGAAGTGGAAAATCGCTGCAAAAATTTGCATTTAAAAATGAAAATTTTTTGACTTACTTTAAAAACGATGTTTATTAAGAGGATGTCCCCGGCCGAACATGCGGTATTTCCTGCTCCGGTGGGACGTCCTGTTGTAAAGGAGGGAAAACACTCGCCAAGAACGTTTTGAAGACTTCGTTTTCAACGGAATGGGAATTTTTCCTTCGCCACATAACGGTGCGATGAGTCGTATTTCCAAGGAAACGTTTGATTCCACTCCACGAGCCCTCAATGCTGTTAGTATGCGCACCTGTTACCGGACACACAAACGTCAGACTGTGGTTTACCTTCAAATGCTGGAAACCTTCATCTTCCAAGCAATTGTAGGAAGCCCAACAGTCCGAAATGATTGTGGTACCAGGCAACACCCATTCTTTAATGACAGCAAGCAAACCTTCTTTCATGCACCATTCTAACACCGCTTTCTTTCCAAACACAGGCAACAGGGCAAAAAACCTTTCAGAATACTCATCATACTTTTGCATGCATTCATTCAAATTCATCCTAACAGCATCGCTGGACATCATGGTAATCTTTAGAAATTTATGTGGAGAAAGAAATAAAAATATTACCTGTAAAAATAATTTCCAAAACGAAGAAAACGAAGCCAAAAGAAGACAGCTGGCCCAACCGGAGCAAAAGAAATGAGCTTTTCCTCATTAACGGCCGTTATAAAAAAGCTGCGCATGTGCAGAAATTAAGAATCGTTAATTTTTAAAGTAATAAGTAATATCATTAGTTAAAATTAAACAGTAAACGAATTACGTAAGCACTAGCTTGCCGCGCTATCGTTAAAACTGTTAAAATTAAAGAAATCTACTACGCATGCGCCCAATTTCGCCAAAAAACCGACTTCTCCTTCACTGGAAAACAATTTTAGAAGGGTTACCAGATTTGGCGCGCCTATCGATTTGGCGAGAAAACACTTGGCGAGAAAAGCGGCCGATTCGACAAATCAACCTAAAAAAAGGTTAATTGAAAAGAAAAAAAAATCATTTATTAATATCATGTTAAAAAATCTAAGTGCTTTGATGGCATGATGAAGCGTGAGGATTACATGCCATCTTCCCAGTATTTATTACTCTTTGAATAATGTTTTCAACACCGTAAGACAAATGAAACTTCTTCAAAAAGGATTTTGGATAGATGTAGACTTCTACAAGAATGTAAATATTGAAAAGCAGATGTTTATTTTACATTGAGAACATATTATGTTTAGTTAACTTATTTTACACATCTTCAGAGTGGTTAACAGAGGTACTTCAGCATTTAATTATCTAAAATTAGAACACAAGAATCTGATATGTAACCATACATATATCAAAAAGAAGTATATATATTTATAAAACTTATTTTACTTAATAATTTTACAATATTACAGGGAAAAAGAAAAAATACAGAAATGGAAAAATATCTTAATTTACTACAGCTTTGTTAATGTTTATACTATATAATTGATGAAATAAGCACCACTTTCAAACATTAGAAATCAAAATTATCATTTACCATTTGTAAAATTACACGTAAAAAATTGTGCTATATTTTAAACTACTAATACTTTATTTTGTACTGTTTTTGTTCCTTAAAATCAATAAAATAAAAAGAATGTTGGGCTACATATTCGGGTATGATACGAGAGAATGGTGGACCCTCCCCCCCACACACATACACTTAATTGAAAAATTCCTCTGTGTGCAGCAGAGCATTATCACATTTAAAGTACACTCCTTTTTAACTTATGTTTCAAAACAATTTTTAGAAATATAAATGGATCAGAATATATCAATATTAAAAGCATTTAATTACACAAATATCCAAGATCCATGCATAATTTTTAGATTTATAACTTAAATTTACATTGATTTTTCATTTTATGTTATATGCGAATATTAAGCATACTTTTAAAGAGTAATTAAAATATATTACAATTTATATTTACTCATTTGAAAATATATAAGACGCAATGCAATAAAAAACATATCTCTTTTCATAATTACCTTACAATAAAAATGTTTCAACTTTAAATACTACGAGTAAAATATCAAACTATATCAAAAGACTTAGGGATAACTCAAGTATAAGGTTTTCTATCGCTTACAAAAGCCTGTTATTATTTAAGTTACGTAAAAAAGAAATACTACACTTATAAATCTATTCCACAATTGTGAGATTTTTCTTAGGTTTTAAAAATAAGATAACTTTTAAAATTATCACTTGAGAGAAAACACAATGCTGCACATTTCACAAACATAAAACTTTTCCTTCCTATGAATTTCTAAAAGTGCTTTAAATTACAGTTTCATAAAACCTCTGTTAGTATATTTCACAGACATAAAGCTTTTCCCTTGTGTGTATATGTAAATGAACTTTTATAAACTAATTTGGGAGAAAATCTTGTTGCATATTTCACAAATGTAAGGCTTCTCTTTGGTAAGAATACAAAAATGTGCTTTTAAATTACCATTTTCAGAAAAGCACTCGGTGCACTTTTCAAAAACATGAGGCTTTTCAATGATATGAATGCATAAATGTGCTTTTAAATTGTCAATTTGAGAAAAACCCTTGTTGCATATTTCACAAAGCTGTAGCTTTTCAGCGGTATGAATCTTTTTCCTTGGTATGAACAAGCAGGTGTATTTTTAAATGACCATTCGAGGGAAAACCTTGTTCATTTTTCACAAACATGAGACTTTTCTTTGGTATGAACACGCAAATGTGCTTTTAAAGAAGAATTTAGAGCAAAAGACTTGTTGCATATTTCACAAGCATAAGGCTTTTCCTTAGTATGAACAAGCAGATGTGTTTTTAAATGGCCAGTTTGAGAGAAAGACTTGTTGCACATTTCACAAACATAAGGCTTTTCCTAGGTATGAATACGTAAATGTCCTTTTAAATAATCACTTCGAGAGAAAGACTTGTTGCACATTTCACAAATATAAGGCTTCTCCTTGGTATGACTACGTAAATGTGCTTTTAAATCACCAATTTGGTAGAAAGCACTGTCACACATTTCACAAGCATAAGGCTTTTCCTTGGTGTGAATATATGTGCTTTTAAATGACCACTTTGAGAAAAACCCTTGCTGTATATTTCACAAACATACGGTTTTTCCTTGGTATGAATAAGCAGATGTCTTTTTAAATGATGCTTTAGAGGGAAAGCTTTGCTGCATACTTCACAAACATGAGGCTTTTCATTATCAAGAACATGTATATGCCTTAGATTATCATATGGGGAGAAAGCCATTTTTTTAATTTCACATGTACAATTTATTTTTTTTTACAGATATGACTTTATAAATCTGTATTAAAATTTGCAATGAAGAAAAAGGATCTTGCAATCTCCTTATGAATACCAGTTTACATAATAATCCTTCTGGAAAAGAAAAAAAATGAGTTCTTCAGTATCTATTGAACTTGTAAGAACATTTTTTATTTGACATTAAAATTTATGAAGGAAAAAAATTTCAGCTGGATATCACAGTTTAGTATAAAATGAAGAATCAGCCAAGAAATTTTATTCGGATATTAGAGTTAACGTTGACAGTTTTATTAGATCAAGTAAAAGAATTAAATTTCAACTTAGGTTTTTTATATATTTTAAACAATATTTCTCCCCTTCAGTTCACACACATTTTACCTTATAATTTAATTTTAAAAAATTGAAATTTAATAACTGAAAACTTCGATTCTTTATATATTTGCTAATATATTAAAGACATAGCCGAATAATACTCACTGCTCACTTTAGTAATTAATAATGCTTAATATGTTTAGAAAAACTTTATAAATATTTTTCAGTTCATATATAAAAAACGGTAGATAATTCCCATCCTCACATTGCATATGTTGTGTACTATTTTAAAAACTCCAAAAAACTACTGATATAAATGTAAAAAACTGAAAACTTTCCATTGGAGAATGATGGGATTTTAAGTAAAGGGACACCTTTAAAACACCACTTCAAAAGAAAGACTTGCTATATTTCACAAACATAACACCTTTCTTTTGTATGAACATGTGTAAATGTGTATTTATATAAATCAATTTCAGATACACATTTCACAAGACTTAACATTTTTGAAGTTATACTTCTTTTGGGGCGTTAGAGAAATAGGATGAGGGTGAATTTTTACGATGCGCGCGCACACCGTCATGGATACGAAATTGCATTGTCTAGAAATATATAGAATGGAACAGATCATTACCGCCTTCAAAATTCTCAGGAAAATATTTCTCTTCACTTCCCTGAAGACGGGGACACCCGGGTTTGAACCGAGGATCTCTCGATCTGCAGTCGAATACTTTACCACTGAGCTATACACCCCGTGTCAGCGAGCATTTGCTTTGCGTTCCGTAGGAACGGATACGAAGATGCTTTGTCTAGAAATATACAGAACGGGACAGATTATTCCCACCTTCAAAATACCAAAATAATACCGAAAATTTTCCCGCCGAGGTCTCAGATGTCACATTCGGTTCACTTCATCTCCAGATACAGTCTGATACCCCCCCCCATGTTATTGGTCCTATTGTCTCTGTGCAGGGGTGTTTAAATTTATTTAAATCGTGATTATTTTGGCTGGTCAATTGACTGAAGGTTAATATCGTTCAACTCTGCTCGTGACCGCCTTTCGCTCTTGGCCCAGCTTGCCCTACTAAAGATTTTTAGAAAGATTTTAATCTTGTTACGCCAAAGAAGTATTGTGACGGGCTCACGCGTCTTTTCATTAACGTGTCCTTTGGGTTCTTTGGGGCCAGAATTAATGGCAAATCTTTTCCAACCAAAACCCAAGAAGTGAAGCGTCAAGGAAAGATGCAAATTAGAAAGCTTTTAAATATCAGAAGTTAGTGTAAGCGGGGTGGCAATTTGGGGAATGTTATGATAGTATGTGATTCAAATGTGAAATTACCTCCCTCGGGTGCCCTTCTGCTTGATTATCAGCGTGAGCTAGAGGTGTAGGAATAAATGAAGAACTAGGAGCTGTCATGATCTTAATTTGACTTTATTAAGCTCTTAAAACTTAAACATCTAACAGATTAGATAATAACAATGTATGTGAGAGAATCTACGATGACAAAACACAAAATATAGATAATACCGAAATAACTTAACCCGGACCACTGTCAATAACTAACTCGCCTAAATTAATTCCAATATTATCACAGATCCTAATATTAAATAGTCAATCCTACCTTAATTTCGATCTACCGATCCAATCTTAATGGAAGTTGCGTCTTTACTGGAGTGCAATGGTATGCACCTTGACCTAACGGCTCTATGTCAGGAATAACTTCTGTGTTGGCTGTCACTTCACAATTGAATCACATACTATCGTAACATTCCCCAAATTGCCACCCCGCTTACTCTAACTTCTGATATTTAAAAGCTTTTTTAATTTGAATCTTTCCTTCACGCTTCATTTCTTGGGTTTTGGTTGGAAAAGTTTTGTCATTAATTCTGACCCCAAAGAACCCAAATAACATGTTAATGAAAAGACGCGTGAGCCCGTCACAGTATAACTTCTTACGTGAGTACATAAGTACACACACTCTTTTTTTTTTATTGTAATTATTTTCAATGTAGCCAATAATTTATAAACAGCCAAATATAACAACCCCGAAACAGAGGAGTTTGAATTCCAATAGGTGCCTCCAACGAAATCAAGCATTTCTTATCCGGCCTAATTTGTTCCTTTTATGTATTATTCTACAACCCAAGAACAGAGGAGTTTGAATTGAATTGAGGTGACTTCGTTGCCTCCAACAAATTCGAGCATTACAGATCCAGTCGTATTTGTTCCTCTTATCTAAAACTCTTGTGAAAGCGTCTTAATAACATTAAATCCTGGAGCCCGGATCTACATAGGAATCAAGTGTTTTTAAAAAGCTTTATGAAAAAATATTAATGCTTCGAATTGTAAAATTCTCAATTTTCCTTGAAAATAAAGAAACTAAAATGCTGTTATTTTCTGCGTATGTTTGTAGCGGTATCCAATTAATAATCCTAGAATATGCACCAACTCTGCCCGACAAAAAACTGATTGTGCAAAGAAAAATTGAAAAACAGCCACCAGAGATTTGCTGAAAAAAGATGTCCAAAGAACAACTACACGCTCTGGTAGACATGTAACGTTTCCAGCGCGTTACAGAGATTAGTTGCATATTATTTGTTGACTCTCATTTGTTGTATTTTTACTTTTATTTGTATGTATTGCATATTGTATCGTAACTATGTTACTGGGGAAGGAGTAATGTTGCATTTCTATTTATAATATCTTTGTTTTTATAAATTTAGTTTTCATGATCTGGCAACAAAAAGTTGTTGACATATTTTGTAGCGCGATGTAAGAACGAAAATAAAAAGTTTAACGATATAAAATAGTTTTCTTCTTAAAAAGGATGAATTAATTCTAAATAATTATTTTGCTTATCTTGTATTTTATTTGTGACTAAATCGTCTACAAGTTACAAGAAAGTTTTACTTCTTTTGAGACAACAATTTGGCAGTATTGCAGCATCGGCCTATGGTTTGCGCGATTTATATTTTGCACTTCACATGCAGTTGAAACTGAATGTGAAAAGTGGTTATTAGTATTTTGCTATGATTCTCCTATTTAGCCAAAAGAAATATAAATGGTAACTTTTTTTAATTTTATTTTTCATACCCAGTTCATTGATCGTTTTTATCTCTTATATGTAACTTTTGGATCTATAATGTTTATGTGGCTCAAGTGTAGTATAGAAGGAGGGGGGGCGAGACTTTGGATTTGGTGATTTTTATCTAGATGTTATGGTGAGAAAAGAAATTCATTCTGGCATACTGTAGACCTATCGCTAAATGATGCACTTGACATCGCCAAGGGTCCCCATACCTCACTTTTAACTTAATTAAACAATAATTGTTTAATTTTTATTTTAACACTGTTTATCAGGATTTGAAAGTTTTTTATCTGCCATTTTATACATCGGTGTAAATTGTATTTATTCAAAATATATTACTGTTAGACATTTAATTTTTTATAAACTAATTATTTTGGATGTCATGCCTTGAAAAATTAGATAAATAGTCCAGTAGCAAAAAATAAATTTATTTACATACTTTAAACATAAGACATTGTGAGCCTTATGCAGTCTTTGGCTGCAAGTATAAACCTAACTATTAGAAAGAATAATCCACATGTAATCTTCTCTAGAGAAATAGAATCTAAAAAATAATAAGTAAGTGATAATCATGTGGTTAAGAAATGAAAAATAATAGTTTTATTGAACTGCTTAGGGAAGGATAACCTTGGCTGCACAAAGTCACTGGGAAAATGAGTGTGTTAGCTATTTATTTTTGATAGAAATATCAATTAATTGAAAATTTAGGGTTTAATGTAAGAAATAAATTGAGATTGGTATTAAAAAAAATAATACCTGTAATTAAGATTTGTAGATGTAATGTGTAAAATTAAAATTTCCAAGTAATATTGTGAGATTATAGAATATATATGTGTACATATACATATGTATGATATATTTGAATTACTCACTCTAACAAGACTAGTTTATGAAATAATACCAGAATATATATATATATTTGTTTGGATCACTAAAATCACATTTAGTTGCAATGTATAACAAAAAAAAGACATCTTGAGTTTTATGCAACCATTGTTATGAAATTGGTTAAGTTGAAAAATGTTGTCTATCAGCCTTAAAATTGAAATGTTATTGTTTTTTTAGTACTTATGTATTTTATCGTCACCACAACAAAATTTAAGCTATGTGAATTGCACCTTGATGTCAAAACAACAAACATTCTTATATGTTTTTATTTGAAGAAAAACTTTAATGGTGCAATTTTGACTGAGGCAATGCTAATATGTAAGTACCATTATTTCATTACTGACAAAAATTTATTCAATACTATATGTAATACAATGACAATACAACATAATAATACTTTAAAAATAAATGATGTATGACTTATTCATGACTTTGTTTTAAAGTTTTAGGTACATAATATTTTGATAATTTTGAAGCATGTAATATCTCTCTATTCCCTTTACTGGAAGTATTTGTTTTATTTATTTCTAAATTAACATCGAATTCAGAAAATTTTATAAGGACTACTAAATGGCCAAGAAAGTTTGGAACTAATTTGATAATGGGGGTAATGGTGGCAAGTGCTGCTTGTTGCCGGAATGAAATCCAATATGGCGGCCTAGCGGTAATTTAATGATACACAATAATTTAAAAGAATTGTTTTGAAATACATTGAAATGTATTTCAAATAAAGGATATAGGAAGAGATTAAGAATAACCTAGATAAATCAATAAATAATGAATAATAATATTATGTAATAAAAAGCAACATGTACTAAAAATAGTATTATAAGCAGTATATAATAATCTTATAATATTATTTTATCGTAATTATATATAATATTCATATAGTATGATTTTATAACGTTATTAGAAATGATAATCATATAATATAATTAAATAGTAATTATTAAAAAGAACAATCGTCGAATTGTAAAAAAAATAAAAATAATGCATAAGAGAACTCGTAATACATAACTATAAATAAACATAAGAATAGCTATAAATAAATAAGATAATAATTATAAATAAATAAGATAATAATTATAAATAAATAACAAAATATGTAATAATAGTTATAAATAAATGCTAAAAGAAACAGTTATAAGTAACGAATATTATATGATGGTTACACATAGTAATAATTGCGTTTTTTTTCATTATGAATAAAATAATTACATAATGTTTGTTAAAATTAATTTAGAATATCAATTACAAAGTAGTGAAAGCTTGCAATATGAAACTTGCACTGCAAGTTCCTTCAATGAGTATCATCGAACAAAGAACGTAAAAAAAAATTTTTTAAACGAAAATAAACTATTTATAGCAATAATTAAAAGTACAACACTTATTCTTTTAAGAAAAAAATATTCTAGTACTCACTCATTTTAGAAATATCCATATTCGAAAGTAGCCCAGAATTAAACAGAAGACGCAAATAGAAAAATTAAACTGAAAATAGTTAAATTTTTAAAGATATCGTCTGAAATTAAAGGGTTATAGCAGGAAAAAATGAATAAAAGTTATTTCTAATATACGTTATCCCCATGGCAACCACATCGGCAGACGATAAAAATATTAAGCTAACCATATTGTAATATTATCGCCCATCTTGGCGAACATAAACAACAGCTTGGCGCTACTACCCTCGATATCAAATTAGCACGGAAAGTTTCTTAGTATTTGCATACTTGAATTCTTCATGTATATTTGATTCATTAAAACTAAACTCAACAAT